TTAGGGTTTAGGGGTTTAAGGGCTTAAGGAGTTTAGGGTTTAGGGTTTCCGGGAGTGTAGGTGTTTAGGGGCTCTGAAAGAAGAGACAAGGGATTATAGAATCATATTTTATCAATATTATAAGTATATTTCGTTACAGAGACAAGGGTTTAGGGGTGTAGGTGTTTAGGGGATTAGGATTTAGGGCTTTGGGTTATAGAGCTCTAAGCCTAGGAATAAAGCGACAAACGGTGGATGGCCCGGAAGGGAGCTACGACTTGGAATGGGGTTTGTATGGGTTTCCATGAAAGGAGTTCTCAAACGGGTTCCTGTAAGGGTTCTGTACCCCTAGGTCGGCCCTGCACTTCAGCCAGAACGGGGTGGTTTTTTCGAGCTTTGGATCGAACTTTCATAAAACAAATCGTCTGAGGTTCCATGTATAGACTTGCAAAAGATTTATGGCGCTGAAATCGAACACAATCTTAGGGTTTGGAGATTTGGACTTGAGGTTCAGGGCTTAGGACGTAGGCTTTAGAATCTAGAGTTAGATGTGAGTCAGTGTCAGGCTCGGGTGTGGGGTTTGGTTCCTTTGAAGGCTTCGTTGGACGGCTCTTGTGCTTCACAGGTGTTTTACGACTCCACAAAGTTTCGGGTGCAAGCCAGGAGTTCTACGGAGGATTGTGTAAAAAGGCCTCATAAAAGTAGCTCTACAATTTCATGCCCGTGATTGCTGCATTCGACGACGTTTTGCACAATACCTCGGGCATCCTGTTGCCAGAGAGGAGAGTACTCACCAGAACTTGTTCAGGATCTGCTATCTGATCCTCCCACACCTCAAACGGCTGAAGGCTTTGCAAATTGCAAAACAGCCTTATTGGTGGACGGACATTGCCCGGCACCATTCGGAAGGAGCCGAAGATAGGATCAGCAGCGCACTTGGAGGGTCCTGCGACAATCGAAGTACAGCCTGACAACTCCAATGCCGGCCAACCGGCAGGCATTTCGGTGCCACGACCGCCGGTTGCAGGCCTTCGGCCAGGATCCTGCCGACTAGGACGCCCAGCACGGAAAGTGATGCAACGCCAACGACCTGCTCTGCCTAGCTGTCTACCCCTAAACCCTAAACCCTGATAACCCCGAACCCTAAACCGTAGCGGTGTCTTGAAACTCTGTGTCAGTGGCTGACAGCAAACTCTGGAAGGCTTCCCCGAGCTGCAGAGACATGGCTGCAGGCCTGTCTCTAGAATTCTACGGTTTAGGGTTTAGGGCTTTCGGTTTAGGGTTTAGGGTTTACTACTGTCTCCGTGCAGTGTCTGCGAGACAGAGAGACAGAGAGAGAGAGCGTGTGTGTGTGTGTGTCTGTCTGTGTCTGAGGTTTCCCATACAGACAGTACTCATACCCCGATAACCGCAGCCAACATATACACGGTCAAACGTCTTCAAGGAGCCTTTTGTACACGAACGAAACTCGTATGTATGCAGCTAAGCCCTAAACCTAAAGCCCTCTAAACTCTAAACCCTAAGCCCTATGAAACCGAAGCCCTAAACCCTAAACCCTATAGAACCTAAGAGATTCGGGGATGTGAAGCTTAGGATTCTGGGCCTTCTGGGAGTGATAAAGCTGGCATGGCATGCTTCCAGAGATTAGGGGGTTTAGGGTTTAGGGTTTAGGATTTAGGGATTAGGGTTTAGGATTTAGGGGTACCTTACTTCCAGAGATCAGGGGACTTACGAACTAGGGTTATAGATGGAGTAAATATACTTGTAAGCACTTACAGCCACAATTTGGTTTAGGGTTTACGTAGGGTATAGGGCATCGGGTCGCTATTGTTACTATAGTTATAATTACGAGTACTTGTAACCCCAATCAGGGTACTTGTAACTTACTTACTAAGTCCCCTGATCCTCCAAGTACTTCCAGAGATCAGGGGAGTTGCAGCAAATTGGTTTTAATAGAAGTAGTCCACAAAGGTTAGGCCTTGACCCACTTCCTTCCCAGCGGCTTAGAAAATTGAACGGAGGGTGAGCTTCGAGGCAAGAATCTCAAACCCTAAACCACACGGCACTCGCCGCCGAAAACCTTTCAGAACCTCTTGAACTGAAGAAGTTGTCTGCATGGACAGAGTTTAGCTCGCTTGCGCAGTGTCCTGGGGGGAACTACTGTTTAACCTTCGGGGTTCTATTAGGACTATCGTACCCCGATCCGGCTAAAGGCTACTTACAAGCAAGTCAGGGTGTAGGGCTTCCTGCTAAAAGCCAATCTTTCCAGTAAATATGCCCCTCGCACCCCTAGTTCGATGACGGTCAAGGGCTTCAGTGCTGAGAACTGCGGAAAATAAAACCTGGCAAAGCAGACACCGGCGAACGGCCTGGAACGTTCCAATCCTCGCTCGGTTGTCACAGTCTGTCCCAATGTTACGGCATTATTTCCAAGGGCCGCAGGATAAGGGTTCTCTAACTCCACCGAAACCCTATGTGTCTAAACCAAACTCGTAAACCCCATGCTAGGCCTCCTGAACCGTAGAATCCGTAGAATCCTAAACCCTAAACACCTTATCACAAAATCTTCAAAACCCCCCAACTTGAACCTTAAACCCTACAAGCCCTAATGCCCTAATCTAACCCTAAACCCTAAACCCTAAACCCTAAACCCCTAAACCCCTAAACCCCTAAACCCTAAACCCTAAACCGTGGCTCTGTACCTTCGACAACAGGGAGAGCCAGAGGTTTGGGCTGAAACTTCTGAATAGCTCATGTAATCCTTGGGCCCCAATGATCGGAAAAGGTTCCTATAAGGGTTCCTGAAGTCTTATAAGAGTTATGGGGCCCATGCTCAAGGTTACTTTTCGGGTTTTTATTTTGGGGTTTAGGGCTTGGGGTTACTATGCTTACGATGCGGGCTCCTCTGAACGTGTTCTATAGATATTATAGGGCGTCATATATGGGCTGGCCTGCTTGATAGAATATGGGTTCTGTAAAGGGCTCCTTTAAAAGGTTCTATGTCGGGCTCGGTTTTGTACATAGGCACCTAAGAGTGGGCTTTCTAAAAGATTTCTAAATCCGATCCCCCAATATTGCAGACACAACGAATGAAAGTGAGTCCCCTGAGCCTGCAAGTTCGGATTTAGGTTCAGGTTTTAGTTAGGGTCCAGGATATCCTCCTTCTCACCCCTACACCCTGAAGCTCTGAGCCCGAAAACCCTGAAGCTCGACAGCGCTCAGATGACCCAACAGCCTCTTCCCTGTGCGCCTGAAAACTTAGTTTTAATCCGAGCGTTAAACTACTGAAACCCCATGGTTTAGGGTTTAGGGTTTAGGGTTTATTGAGGGTTTAGGGTTTATTGAGGGCGCTAAAAAACTCAAACCCCATCCCCTCAACCCGTCACCCCTAGAGGCCGTCCTCCATTGGCTCTAGGCTGGTCTGTGCGAGCAGCTCGCAACTGCCGTTGCTGAGCCGGACCTCATCTTCTGGGCAAAGATGATGGGGTTTAGGGTTAGGGTTCAGGGT